TCTATATATTCGTATGAACACATAATTGAAATAAGATATAATTCCAACAGATGACATTGAATAAATAGAATTATCTATTTATTCAACAAATTTTCACAAATCGCTGTACATTACTTGTGTAAAACAACACTGAAATTGCATGAATTCTTATTGTCACGCATGTTATCTTTTGTTTTACAAAAAGTCTTACATAGTTTAGCGGTTTTGTTTATGTTGTTATTGTATTATAGCGGAACCTGAATCCAGAAGCTGTTGTGACAAATCAACCGCGAGGTTTTGGCAAGGTAAGTTTTTATAATACTTGAGATTTGAGTTATCTTTATTTTTGCAGTCGTAAATTGCTTTTTATTTTTGTTATTGTTCGATTATGTCGGAACGATTTCACACAGATTGTGCGCAATAATAGTTTACTTGATTATATTTTGTTATATTTGCGTGCACTGCTACTTTTTTTTAGTAAACATTGTAAAATATGAATTATTGTAGTGCCTCATTCCGCACAAATGCATGTATTTGTAGTTAATGGCAATTTCTTAAATGGATTCATTGTTATTGAATTTTATGGAATACAGAGTGTTTCAAACCTAACGCACTACCTATTAATGGCAGATTCCTTAAGTCATTTTGAGATGAAAATTTAATACCATAATAAGATCCAGACTAAATATCTTTTTAATATAATAAACATCAAGAATTAGAAACATCAGCAATTTTATTTTCGCCTACTACTGTAATATTTATATTAACAAAAGACAAAAATTCTGTCTGGTTTCCAATTTGGTCTCTCATTGTCACTTTATAATTAGATTTAAAATTTAAGATTTATAAGTTTCAATTTTTATATTAGTTATAAACTGATGAACTATGAGCCAAAACATACTTATATTTTATATATAAAGAAATGATGGTCTGAATCGAGCGATAATATAATTTATAAAAAGTAATTCAAGTCGCATACAACGTTAATATGAAAACAATGTAACTTAAAAGTTTAATAAATCGTACGTTTCGGAACTCACAGGTTCTTCTTCAATAGTTCATGAAAAATGTTACATGATAATATAGATGGATAATCTTACGGTTCACGAGACATAGTAGTATTGTTGCAAGGAAATTGAATTTTAATTTTTATGTGAATTGTATCTAAAGTGAGAAATTCATTGTCACAATATATCGAAAAGTCATAAAGTGACGAACAAAAATTGTCAACTTATTCTCTATTGTCAATCTTTGTATTAAGTCAATTTAAATATTCATAAGATGAATTAAGGTTGTAATGTTTCTACTTACAATCTGAGAAAATAGGAGCATCTTACAAATTACATTGTGTTCATACTAACATTGTATGCGACTTGAATTACTTTTTATAAACTTTATTACCGCTCGATTCAGACCGTCATTTCTTTACACTCTTATTGCAAAAAACGAGCGAAATTTAATTATTTATATTTTATATTATATTTATTAAATGGTTAAAAAAGATCTGCTTATTTAAATATTTTATTTGCTCGTCTCTTGGTCGTTTTAAATGTTGATATTTTGTTTTACAAATGAACGTTTTATTATTAAGAAGACAATTATTAGCTTTTACTTTTAGTATTTTGTGTTGTGCCGTACCTGAACGCGCAAATTTTAGATAATATAATTTGCTAGTTTTAAATAATTATAATTCAAAAACTATTAGCCTTGAGACATTTTGATATTAGAATTTAGTCTCAAAATAATTACAGGAATTAGCAGGTGGTGCGTTAGAACTGAAGCATCCTGTATATACCTCGCTTGTGATTGATAATTAAAACTTAATGTATAATATATAAGTAAAACTTTTTGCATCAAAATTACTAAACCATTATTCAATTTTTTAATAAATAAAGACGTAGATCTTTCTTTTATGAAAAGAAACGCCACTCAAGAACACTCAATCTTTTAATGAAATATCGATATTTTATACTTATTTTTATATTAATAATGCATTTTGATTGATACCAGAATGTTTGTGGATTATCGCCGTGTTTCTATCCATTGCTAATATCAACGTTTCATCAGAACGAGGAACGCACTGTATCTGATGAAGTGAACGCTAAGTTTCACGAAATATTAGCATTAACAATGGTAGAAATACGGCGATAACTTGCAAATCTTCTGATATCTTTAAAGATAAAGCGCGTGAAAGTCTAAAAAGCATATCAAAAAATGCATCTTTACTATTTGAGATAAAGAAATTTTATCATGTATTATTTATGAAAAAAAAAGATATCGCAAACACAAATTTATTAGGAGAGAGAGAGAGAGAGAGAGAGAGAGAGAGAGAGAGAGAGAGAGAGAGAGAGAGAGAGAGAGAAACACAAATGCTTTAAATGAAAAAGTTTAACTACACAAACACGTTTTTCCCTTATATTTCTTTTATACTATCCATTTCTTCAATTCCAAAATCACAAGTTCTGCTAATTAAAAAATTTTAAGTAAATTTATAATTGATATAATTTATCTTTATTTTTTTATTATAAAATCCGAAATCTCTTTTTTACAATTCCCCCATCATCTCAATGACATATGTCATTCAAGCAAGTTAACTTGGTATGAATACAAAAATGGAAACTATTATAAGCAATTATTCATAAATTCAATAAGAAATTATTCATAAATTCAAAGATATTACAAAATATTATTGGGAGTACAAATTAGTTCGGTCCATTTCCCTAAAGATAGCTCCAGCTGTTGTGAATGGTTCATAGTGACAGCTGATTTTGGCAGTTTCAGAGAGGTTAAACATCTGCTAATAATATTCAATTTATATCGCTTTGAGTTTCATACAAAAACCTTTTACTGTGTTTGAAATGTCAAATTTTGTTAACCAAGCAGCATTTGCGGGAGGTTTTGATTTTCTGCTTTAATTGGAAGAAAAGTGCGGATGAAGCCCATCGAATGCTTATCGAAGTTTATGTGACACTGCTCCAACTGATAAATCATGTAGGGAATGGTTTCGACGTTTCAAGGATGGAGCGTTGAAGATAAACCTCTGGACACCTAACCAAAAAAATTCGAAAACAAAGAATTAGAGGCATTACTCGAAGATCAGAATCAAACGCAAGAGGAGCTTGCAGAATCATTGGGGGTAACTCAACAAACCGTTTCTTACGATTGAGAGCCATGGGAATGATTCAAAAACAAGGATGCCTTATGAACTAAAACCCAGAGATGTTGAAAGGCGATTTTTCATTTACGAACAGCTGATTCAAAGACAATAGAGAAAAGGTTTTTTGCATCGGCTTGTGACTGGAGATGAGAAGTGGATATTCTACGACAACCCCAAGAAGAAAAAATACTACTCTAAGCCCAGTCAATCATTGCCATCGACCTCAACACCACGGCCGAACATTCATATTCGAAGATCATGCTCTGTATCTGGTGGGATCAAAAGGATCTTGTTTACTATGAACTGCTGAAACCTGGCGATTCCATTACGGGCGATCGGTATCGGCTACAATTGATTCGTTTGAGTCGTGTAGAGAAAAACGGCCGGAATACGAGCAAAGACATGATAAGATTGTCTCTGATATAGATTCTTCTTCATGACGCTCAGCCTAATGTCGCTAAAATCGTAAAAAAATATTTGGAAACGCTCAAATGGAATGTTTTACTGTACCCGCCATATTCTCCGGACATTGCTCCTTCTGATTACTGGTTGTTCCGAAGATTGCAACAAGTCACTGGTTCACTTCTTTTGCAGAAATCGAAAATTGGCTCCAAAATTGGATCGCCTCCAAAGACGAGTCATTTTTTCGAGATGAAATTCGAAAATTGCTTGAGAGATGGAAAAAAGTAGTAGGCAGCAATGGACAATACTTTAATTGATCTGTTCATTTTGTTTTGAAATAAATACATTTTTGAACAGACCGAACTAATTTGTATTTCCAATAGATATATGTACATTTACGTGACAGAATCTTAGATGCATTTTCATTTATTAATGAAATTGGAAAAAAATTTTACAGAATCAATTTAAAGGATTTTATATTTAATGATATTGATATTTAATGATTCTCGACTGTCTTAAATACAATCTTAAAAATCTTAAGATGTCATAAGCTAATCGTAGACCGGTATTCATAGTTTATATTTATATTTAAGATTGCCTTAAGATGTCATTAATCGATCAGAGAACTGTATTAGCATCTTAAGACATTACTGCTTAAAACATTACTTAAGATGGTCTTGAAATAAGAATAGACTATGAATATCGGCCGAAAGCCGTTTTTTTTTAAGACATTATTTAAGACAATCTTAAAATAAAAACCGATTATGACCAGTCTTAGATGTAAGTTGTCGGATTCATATCTAATTACGTTAATTAAGTTAGTTAAGACTTAACTTTATACTATAATTATTAATTAGCACTAACCTGAAATACATAATTCTTTATTTGGTATTTTACAATTGTAAAAGAAAAGGAAAAATAATTATTTGCTTAAAGAAATTAGGGAATCATTTTTTCTCGATCAATTCTTGCCCATTTTTTAATTGTAATTACTCGATGAATAATTAACATTTAAAAATGTATAAAAGAATAAAATTTTAAAGGGCAAAATTTCTACTATAAAATATTTTTGATCAATTTTTTTTTACTCAACTAAATACTCGTTTTGAATAAGAAAATGTCTGAGATATCAAAAATCTTGAAATTTGCAGTTTTCCATCACATAACAAAAATTAACGTGCATAATCGATATACAATAATTGATATACAATGCGTATATAATACTATTTATTCTCTTCTAAATAAAAAAAATTTACTCTATGACAATATTAAATTATTTGGCAAGATATTGCAATTTAAACAGTTCTTACTTTTTAATGATTGTAGGATGATATTGTCAGCATTTGTATAACCCAATGCAGGAATTATCGATAATAACAGACTAATAAGAAGCATTACATCAAATTTAGATATAAATTTCTTAATCTAATATGAACATGAAATCAAAATTACACAAGATAATACGATGAAGGAGTGACGTCAGTGGCAACATATTTTATTGAAAAAAGTACTTCACATATGGGGACACATGTACACGTATATATCATACACGATGTGTAAAATTCGACCGAACAATTCCCGTAATGCATATCAAGTTACGCAAATACAAGTGATATCGTCCCGTCATGGTGAAAAAAGACAAGTGAGATAATTTGAGATGTACAGTAGGACCAAAATTTAGGACCAAAATTTGATTGGCTAGCTAATTGCTTTGAATTGCCGTTATACGCATTGTCTTCTTTCACTATGCGTTCTACAATCATCAAAAAATGGGACTGTTTCAATTGTAATATTTCGTCAAATATAATATTATCAAAGAGCAAATGTTTTAGAAGAGTAAATTGTATACTTCAAAATATTTTTTATCACACGATGGAAATTTGAATATCCAAAACATATCCTTATTCAAAGCTGACTACACCTGAGTGTTTAGTTGAGTAAAAATTGACCAAAAGCACCTTATAATAAATCCTTTAAGGATCTAAATTTTAAATTTAAAACCCCTTTTTTATGTTAATCATTTACTGAGTGATTACGGTTTAAAAATGAACAAAAAAAAATGAGAAGAAATTATCTTTTAATTTTTTAAGCAATATATTTATCATAATATCAAAAAATTTATAACTCTTACAATGTGCAACAAATATAAAATATACTTCAAATAACTACTCTGTAAATAAATGAGAGATATTATATTTTCCGATATTCTCTAAATATACTTTCGCAGGAAGAAGAAAGCGATGATGATGCTGTGACAGCTCAACCTCAGAGTAGTGCATCGCAAAATGCATCTAATATACAGCAACCAATATTTGCGATGCCTGCACCGGGATCAGCAGCACCAACGTCAACGGCTAACGAAAGCACGAACCTAAACAGCGGTGGCGATCGTGTGATTTATACAACTGGTATTACGAGTTCTTGAAAATGCATATTACGAGTTTTATCTTTTGCATATTGCTATTGATCATCCAATTTATGTCTCTCGTCCAAAATCATTCATTTTATTTTTTCTTGCCCATTTTTTTGTTAATTAATATTTTATCACTTCTTTATATCAATAGCAATTTTATAGTACATAGAAAAAGACATTAACAAAGGTAAAATGATTTTTTAATTATGTTAATGTTTCTTATATACTTTAGTGATGGTTACTTAAAATTTCAATTACAATAGAAATAATATAAATAAGATTATGCTGAAAGATGTATATAAAATTTGTCGATAATTATATCTCCTTTATATTCTAACAAGATAGTGTAAAACTTTAGCAATATCCTTTTTTAATTTTTTTTTTTTAATATAAATTATTCATTTAATATAAGCAATTCACCATAAATAAAAATTAGAAAGTTATATTAGAAAACTAATGTATGCTTCCACAAATCAAACTTAGATCTCTATTCTTAATAATAGAAAGGTATCACCAAAATGAGAAGACGCGAAGATTTTATGTTCTTTTGAAGAAAAATATTAAATATTTTTTTAGAGTCGCGATTCTTTATATAATTAGTATAGCAAACAAATTAGTTACACGAATGTATACTGCAGCTAGTTATTTTATCATGAACACACAAGTGCACGCGCACACATATCACATGATTGTATACACTCTAAAATATACGTATAATATAAACATACGTATCGAAGAAATAAGGATGCGCTTAGTGATAGCTCAAGATAATTCCCTAATTCTTAAAGTACAAAATTTATATATAAACAAAAGGAATAATAAATATATATATATACAATATATACATTTTTGCTGCGAAAGATTGATTCTAAATTGACCAAAAATCAGTAAAAAGATGTCTATAGTTTTTCAAAATTATTAAAGATGTTCTTTATAATAAATAATTTTTTGACAGACTAATTTAATTTTTTTCCTAAAAAAACGTCATTTATTGCAGTTTTCCAATTTTTTGTTTATCATTTATCTTTATAATTACGTTTTAAGTATATTTTGAAGTAAACTTTATCTGAAATTAATAAAGAATATAATTTTTTTTATTGTTATTTGAAGTCTAGAAACTTTTGCCATTCTTGTTTATTTGTTTATAATTCGAAAATTGTATGATACTTTGATTTTTTCATCAAAAAGGATCGGCTTAAATTAATTATAGAATCTGTCGTTCAAGAAAGTCCAATGATTTTAAGACA